AAATAAATCCAAATGTTTGTATTTTCCTTCAATTTCTCTCTTGTACGAATTCTGTTTTGACACGGTTTCAAAAAGGTCCACATCGCTCTCTATTCAACAATGTTCTTGTACTTCCTTCAGGAACATAACTGGGCAAGAATGCAACAGGATAGACACTCAAGGAAGTACCCATAATGATAAAGAGCTTGCAAGCATGGGATTGTTTCAAATCTGATTTGACACATTCAGAATACTTGGATGGAAGTTCCTCTCCGAAAAGGACAATATCTGGTTTCAAGTAACCATTACATGAATCGCAGTGAGGAATTTGAACTGTTTTTGGATGGAGACCCATCTTGTTGACCAACTCGTTCAAAGTGTTGGTTTGTATCCTTGAGAAATGAAATCTCTTGAAAGTAAAAAGAAGGGAGTGGGATTTTCTTGAAATATTCCAATTCAAAGATCGCCGTGGGACGAGGAAGATTATATTTCTGTAAATTGTCGTATCTTAATATTATTAGTTGTCGTGCATTCATTCAAATAGTGTTTCATCATCATGAACATTTTCATGAATAATTATTCCAAATTTTGAACGCTCACTGAACTAGTTAACTTACAATCCAGTTCCAGGTGTTCTAAAATCGGGAATTCCAGCAGCCGTGCTCAATCCTGCTCCAGTTAAACAAACAATTTCATGATCGCTTGCTTGTGCAATTTGTTGGGCAAGAATTTCAAAGGCTTCCTCGAGTTCCGAAGGCAAACCTTTCTTTTGGGTTGAAGAGTGATTCAAGACACTCTTCCGAAAGGGCTTTTTAGCCATGTTGGTGATGATGGTTGTTTTGGAAGAGGAGGATGATCCACAGAGAGAGCTCTCTGTTTGGATCGTTGCTTTTTGATTCATTGAGGAAGAGTAGGATCTTGCTGGTGGTGGAGGTGGTCGTGGTCGTCGTCCTGGAATCGTTATTCATTCCACACGTAGGGTGTCTTGAATCACTCTTCAATACTGAAGTGTTGTTATTCTTGGATCGTTTAGTTCTGTTGTTCGTTACTGGTGCCCTCTTCTGTTGGCTTTGGCTTGACATGATGATTGTTTTTGATAATATTTCAAGTTCAACTCAGTCGATCGAACTACTAGGTCAAAAGCAAGTACTGAACTTGCTCTATTTTGGGAGGTACGTTGAAATAGAGAGAAGAGATATATTTAGTTTTTATTCTTCATCCTCGTCTTCGTCGTCATCTTCGTCTTCTTCATCCTCTTGTTGCTTTTGTTGTAATGATGCATCCTGTTGTTGTTGTTGTTGTGGTGAAGAAGATGGTTGTTGTTGCAGTTTCTGTTTCTGTAAACTCCTTTCCAACATTTTTTGATTTCGTTTCTGAATACCTCGTTGTGTAATGGTAGTAAAACCAAGAGAATCCACAGAAGAAACGACCTTATCATCCACAATTAGAGAATATCGAAGATAGAGCATTTTTCCATACTTGTGACTGGGTTTGTTCAGAACAAGGTCTTTCACATTGACAATTCCGTGAGCAGCTGTACTTAAAGAGACAGCAATATCTGTCAGGTCACAAATAAATCGTCTCTTGTTGCTGTCAATTTTTACTCCTCTTCCTAGTAAACAAACAGACAACCTTCCAAATCGATGCATTTTAAACTTTTCACAAGTAATTCGTAAGGTTTGTGTGGGTAACTTTTCTCCAAGTCGATACTCGGCGTTTTCCTTCAAGCCATGAATTAACTCGAGAGTATCGTTTTTTGTGGGACACGGATCAATGAGTGACTCAAATCTCTTATTCTCAAATTGTTGTTGAATATTAGATTCTACTTGTTTTGGTAAAATAATATTATTTCGTTCTAAATTGTACTTGAGACGTTTCTCTTCACGTTCAGCTCTCTTCTTGTTTTTCTTTCGTTCTTCATTGGCAAGATATTCTTCATAGGCTCTCTTTCCTGCAATCATTGGATCCATGTTGGGATCTATGAAAAGAGCGGAAGGAAATTTCTTTCGTCCATTGGGAGGAGTGGTTGCTTGGTAGTGTGGTGATGATGATGATGGTGTGGAAAATGCATGATTCGTGCTACTACTCAATGAATAAGAGCGAGTGATTGAGTTTGATGCAAGTGTATTTGAGAGAGAACCATGAGTTGCAGTCACATTCGTCATGGAAGCTTGATTTGAGGAACAAGTAGTAGTCGATTCGAGAGTTTTTGGTGGCGATAAAGTGGATGATGAAGATGAGAGAGTTCCACTACTGCTAGAGTTTGAGATTATTGATAATTGACTAGTATGATTCATTGCATGTTCTTGTACTTTGGATGAATAATTGTGATTGGCTCTTGATGATGTGACATTGGTTGAATCTGAGCTTGTGACATAATTCACCTTTGATAATTCTAAAGATTCCACAACAGGATGAGTGGCATCCATTGTGACTGATGTTGCATGTGAGGATGAATGCGTGGACATATTGGACGACGGCGCTTGAGATGGTGATGTTAAATACGGATACGGATGATAGGAATTCAAAGTCGAATGATGATGGGGTGGTGGCGGTGGATATCCATAATGAGGATGAGAAGGAGGAAAAGTGGTTGATGGTGGATACGCATATCTGGGGTCATAAGGATAATAATGTGAAGATGGAGGAGGAAAATGCTGAGCTGATGGAGGAGTTGAAGATGATGATGCAGAATAATAAGGCGAGGGAGGAGGAGGATACGATGAATACGAAGAAGAAGAAGAAGGAGGAGGAGGAGGATACGGTGTTGCATGATAAGGATAGGAAGGATAGTAATGAGGAGGAGGAGGATAATAGTCATAATAATGAGCATAGGGATGATGCAACGAGGAAGAAGAGGATGATATTGATGTCAAAAGAGTATTACTAGCAGAACTTATACTTGAACTACTAGTGGTTGTCGCATGAGTCTTTCTGTCAAGAAGTTGGTGATCTTGACTGAATGCATGACGAAGAGGAGACTCCTCATGCATGGATCGAGCATGTTCTGAAGAATCCAAATTCGTAAGAGGTGATACGTGTGGTCGTTGTTGGACAGGATGAGGTGATCTTGATGTCTCAGTCATTTCTGTTGTCGTACTGAAATCAACATTCGATGCATGACCGTAATGACGACATGCCGAATTCGTTTTTTCCAAATTCGAAGAAGAATCATTGGCGGAGGAAGAAGCATGTGTACTAGTCGTCCTGTTGTGTGTTGCATGTTCGTCGTGATCATGCATGCTAGTGTTGGTCTGAGATGCATGGACATGTGGTGGAGAGGTCAGCAACAACATGTGGTCCACAGAAGAAGAAGGAGATGGGTCGGATCCTATCTTTACATGATGATTGGTTTCAGAAGTAGTACTAGTAGTAGAAGCGACACCACCACTACCAATGATGGAACTCAATGGTGGAAGAGTTGTTGTTGTTTTTACTGCAGACGATGCATGAAGATTCACATGTTCAGAAGCATCAGCAGCAGTGAGATTAGAGTCCGTGGAAGGCATGTGTTGCTCCTCTGTGGGTACTGCTTCATGACCATGCTGCTGCATTTTGGAGGATTGTGTGATTGTCGTGAATGGAGGAAGTGATGCATGTGGAGGATGGGATGACCCGTCATAGCCATAATATGGATGGGATGATTTAGAGGAAATAAGAGGAGGAGGACGAGGACGAGAATACAATGAGGATGATGAGGTGTGAGCTGCAAAGTCAGTGCTAGTGCTGGGAGTGATGTTGTTGTTGTTTCCATGCATGTCCACCATAACATGTGGATGTTCGGAGTGGGGATGCGAATAACCATAATAGTAATGATGATAGAAATGAGATGAAGCACTCGAGGAAGGATGATTGGACCAAACATGTTGTTGCTGTTGTTGTTGCTGTTGTTGTTGCTGTTGTTGTTGCTGTTGTTGTTGCTGTTGCTGTTGCTGTTGTTGTTGCATGGAGGGATCAGAGGTTGTTGTTGTTCTTGTGGTGGATGAGTTTCTTGTTGTTGCCACGACTGTAAGTGTGGAGAGAATATCACCATGATGATGATTGTTGTTATCGTGTGATTGTTGTTCCAACACCACAGATGTCGCAGAAGTAGTAGTAGTTGTTTTCATAGGAGCCGCGGTCAACTGAATTTCCTCTTCTTCTTCAACATGTTTCAAAACAATACCTTTTGTTTCATCCAATTCTCTTCTTTGAAAATCTCTCTCTTCATGACTTCCATCTTGTTGTTGTAGTATCTTGCTATTCATCCTTACCAAACGATTGCCATTCGTTGTTGTGGTTGTTGTTGTTGCCTTCATCGAGATCGCTTCTTGTTCGATTTGGCAAGAAGGCTTCTTCACCCGATACTCGAGATCGCAGACTTTCCCAAATTCCGATCGGCTAATATTTTTTTGAGGAAAAAGTTTTGTTGCGCCTTCGCGAAATGGGAGGATCTTACGTGATGTGGGGGAGTGATGATTGGAAGCTGGAAGTGATGCTTCTGTTTGTTGTACTTGGTTGGGAAGAAGCGAGAACGCGCTAGTCTGATCAGAATCGCCGTCCTTCACCAAGGTGTGGTGTTGGTGGTGTTGGTGATAAGAATTCATGGAGTCCTCTTCTCTCTGCAGAGGTTGGTGATGAACAAGTGGTGGTTGATGTTCCAACATTTTCTTTCTTATTTGGTTGTTCGACATTTCCGTAGAGGTGTTGTTGTTGTTGTTGTCAACATTGCTGTCGTTCTTACTGCACCTATCATCATCATCAACCTTATCGAGAGCAGATTTCTGTTTTTGGTCTGACCTCGCACCACCAAGGGAATGAGTTGTGTGGTTGTTGTTGAATAACGGAGATTCAGATGCTTGTGAAGAATGAGAAGAAGTGGAGTAGTGAAGAGATGGAGAATCATCCTCTTGATCAATTTCAACAGGAGATGTCTGATTTTCTACACCACTCAGTCGCGACAGTTTTGTCCGTGCGGCTACTTTCGATTCTGTTGTTGAAGATGAGAATGCAATTTGTTGATGGGAAACATTTGGAGTTGGTAGTCGTTGTTGGTTGTTGATAGCAACACGATCTTCTTGTGGTTCCTTGTTTGATATCTCAATGCTTGAGATTTCACTGTCCAAAACATGATGAAACACATCACCGATGTTATGGTTTTTCGTGAGAAGGTTGTCTGAATGACAAGTGTTGTCGCTATTAAGCTGATCCTGTAATGACATTCGTGTTGGTTGGTTTGTTTCTTCTTCATTATCTTTCGTCTGTGATGATGATGATAATGACAACTGATTCAAAGGTTGACAAGATGACGAAGAATTTGATGATGCGCTTTCTTTTTCTCGATGATGAGATTTCAAACAACGAAACGCATGCAGACTCGATCCCTTCGTTCTCGCTCGTAATAACTTTCGAGGAGTGGTGGTTGTTTCACTCGAAGAAGAAGAAGAAGAGGTCGAAGTTAAGCTTTGGGTTTCCTTTTGTTTTGTACCATTCCTTGCAGGAGATGAAGTGATCAACAAGGATGTCAAGAGAGAGTGCTGGTCATGATGTCGAGCAAAAATCCTGTTATTGTTCAATTTGTCATTCATGGTGGTTAGTAGTGAATACCCTGTTGTGGCGGTAGGGTGCGACGCTTGAGGTTAGAATCTGCAATTAAAAGTGAGTGGCTGGAGTGGTGGTGGATGTGACGTGTTGTCTTTTTTAAATGTTATTGATGAGGAAGGGTGGTTGATTTGAGAATGTGTGAATGTGTGTTCAACGACGACACGTCCGCAAGTTGTTGTTGTTATTATTGGGTTATTGGACAATAGTTGTTTTTGGTTTAAAGTTGTGGGCTCGTCTTGGGTACGGGAATTCAATACCTGCAGAACTGGCAAGTATTGTATATTGTATTCGGCAAAGAAAAATCGATCGCTCTTTGATAGTTTGGTTGGTTTGCTGGTTTGTGATAAACCAATCTGATGATAATTTTTTGAGTTCATTCCATCGCCTATCAGTCTTCACAACATCGAGAAAGGAAGTTACGACCTGACAGCATCGGCTGTTGACCAAAAGAGCAGTTCAGGGATGGACACACCAAACTTCCATGCTGTGAGGAGTTGAGATTCAGATGTTCGACATGACGACTTAATAAATCAAATTGTTGTTGTGACCAATAGCATGGCAAGGAGAACACGCGCGTTGAGAATTGTTTTTGAAGAAAGAATCTTACTCGTTTCAATTCGATGAAAAGATTGGGCATTATCATTAACTTTGGTAAATCTGGACTATTGACTTTTTTGCTGGATGACCACACAACATGATAAAGTATTTGTTTGGGATAAAGGTAACGAACTTGTGTCTCTCAAAGCTTTGAACGACTTAATTGCATTTGTTCAAAAAATTGAGAATCAATTCATCGAGATTTGGAGAGAAATATTCTTTGGTTAATAGTTTTGCATATTCCCATTAAAGATGAATCTTTTTGAATCTTTCATGGATCACACCTGCCTCCAGAATTAGTATGAATCACAACCACAATACTCACTCTCTCTCTGACCATTACCAATCATAATTTGATCCATTGCAATTATTATCATCAGTAACTCTAAACCATCTCATTTGGTCGACCAAATGACAACGAATATTCAATATTTAGAATATATCGAATCAAAAAAAAATTGAAACAAAATTTTTCAAGACGACGCCGCATTAATTCCTCTTGCCGCTTCTTCTGTTCCTGCTCTCTTTTTTTTTAGAGAGCCTCTTTCTCTCCATCGTGAGCCTCATCGTAACCGATATCCTCCTCCAATTATTATTATTACTACCATCATCACTATCACCAACAACAACAAAACACACATCCTACTTATTCTCTTTTCCGAATAATTATTGCCAGTTGTCCCTTTCAATTTTTCCCGCTTCTAAAGTCCTTTCCCAAACGGTTGTTGCTGATATCTCTCATCATCATTTGCTTTCACTTTTCGGAGAAAGAAAACTTTGAACAAATCATTTCAATCCTCGACTACAACAATCCTTTGAGCCAAATAATTTTCCAAGCGATCCTTCCCTTCCCATCACACACTAGTTGAAATAGTTCATTTCACTTGTTTTAGCCATAATTATCACCTCTCGGATCACTAGATTCTTTATTCTACATCCTCATTCTCTTTTCATATATAATAACACTGTGCTCCTTAGGTACGCACCACCAACACCACTCAAATTCCACACTCCATTTCATAATAATTATTTCATCATCCTAAATTCATTTTCCATATAATTCTAACAGATATCGCTCTGTTTGACCTTTTCTCCACTCGATCCAATTCATTACCAACAGCAATAATAACACTACATTTATTTGCCCTCCAAAGATGAACAAGAGAAAACTCGATCAACCACAAGGATTTTTACATGCCACGACATCCTCTGAATCAGATCATTCTGAATTGGCCGACAATTCTTCTCGAGGCCATCTCGAAGTCAATAACCACAATAATAATCCCCAGCATCAAGAAGACCTTGTCAACACAGACGATCCATTATTATTAGAAATGGCCTCCAAGAAACGAAAACAACAAACAGAAGCAGCTTTTGACTTTTCGTATGCTCTCGCTCAGGGTTCAAGTCATTTAAAAGCACCAACAACATCACACCTGGAAGAAAATGAAAATACCATGGATGGCCATGAACCTTATTGCCTCCATCAAGACAACTCTGCCTATGGCAGCAATTGCAGCGACAAGGAGCTGAATGACTTGGATGAGACCTTTCTTTCCTCCAAACTCTCTCCACAACAACGTGAAAACTTGAGAACCAAGACAAAAGATTTCGTGAGACAACAAAAGATCAATGAGCAGCAATACGTGATTCATGCCTCTAAATATGTGAGTAGTATTGCTGAGGTTAACAGAATTGTCAACACTGGCGAATGGTTCGACAGTGCAGAAATAGAGAGATCAGTCGTGGACGAGAATTCAAAGCTGACTGAAGCTCAAAACCCTTCTACTGCATTCTTAACCTATTCTCAACAACAAAGACGTCATACTTTCCCATCCAACCTTTCACATCATGCATTGAACCAGTCGTCACCACTCTCTTCACCCCTAACGAACGAGGATTCTATCAATAACAATCATGCACCAGAATTAGTTTTTCTTCCCAAAGTCTTGTGTTCCATCATTAAACCTCATCAGCTTGAAGCTCTCCGATTTTGCTGGAATAGCGTTGTGTTGCCACCTGATGACGACCTCAAGGGGTGTATTCTGGGTCACTCTACTGGTCTTGGAAAAACTCTTACCATTATTGTTTTTTGCTACCTCTATTTAAAGCATCATAAGGGAAAGAGAATTCTCATTGTTTGCCCAAGATCAGTCATTCAGAACTGGGAGCGTGAGATTGCCTCCTGGATGCACAACCTCAAACTAGACACAATTCCATGTTTTGTGTTGGATCATGGAAAAGATCTGAGAAGTCACAGACTGGAAAAACTTGCAGATTGGTCCAACAGGGGAGGAATTCTCCTCATGTGCTTTTCATCATTCTCTAGGTGGACAGAATCACAACAAGCGGGAGGAGCCCACCCACAACAGCAATTTTCAAACAATGTTGGATTTCAAGCACCTCTCCATGATTCACACAGTCATAACAACAACGCAAGCAAAATTGAATTTGAGAAGCAAGTTGCAGAATATTTGCGAAAGTGTGATTTGGCTGTACTTGATGAAGGGCATCGTATGAAAAACCCGACCACAAACCTTTCACATGCTCTCTACTCTAACATTTTGACAAGAAAGAGGATTGTGTTGACAGGAGTACCACCACAATTCAACCTCATGGAATATTTTACCATTATTGATTGGGTAAGACCAGGTTACTGGTCCATGAAGGAATTCAAGCACTTGTTCTGTGATCCAATCAGTCTTTCTCTTCAGGACTTGTCTAATGTGGAGAATAGAGAGCAAATGAGGAAACGGTTTTTCATCCTTATGCAAGAATTGAGTTTATTTGTTCATAGAAAAGATCAATCCGTTCTGAAATCATATCTTCCACCAAAGAAGGAATATGTATTATACTTTCATCCAACTGACATTCAAAGCAAACTGTATAATAGATTTATTGAGAGCAGAAGAAAGGATTTGAAGCAAACAAACATTGAGACATCCTTTAATGAAGAAAAACAAAAAAGGGAAATATACTTTATGACAGTCATGACTCAGAAAATTCTCAACCATCCAGACTTGATATTACAGTATTGTCGTGACAATAAGAAATTGTTCGAGACGAATAATGCACTTGTAGGTGAATCAAGCCAAAGATCATCCATGAAATTGTTTTTGGAGGAGAATGCTGATGATAGTCATGAATTGAGTTATATACCTACTAGATCGACATGCATCTCTGAAACAATCGCAACAGAGGAAGACACAAGTCTCGCTCCATCTGTCAGTAATACCATGTTTAACATGTTGGAAGAAGCTGAACGCTTCAAAGACACCAGAGAAAACATGGAATGGGCAAAACCTGTCTTGGAGAAATCTTACTACATGAACATGATTGATAACTCTCCCAAGATGTTGTGCCTGATCAGAATGATTGAACAATGCTTTTTGAATTTTGAAAAACTTTTAGTATTCAGTCAATACCAAGAAACATTGGACGCTATCGAGAGAATTATTACCAACGTTAACATTACAACTGGCCTTCCATTGGAAGATGAGTCGCAACCTCTAAAACGGAAATTGAAGCGAAATGTTGACTTTTACAGATTAGACGATTCCATGTCTGTCTCTCTGGGTCAAAGTGTTGTCGATTCGTTTAACTCTTCTTCTGATGCTCCTTTACTGTTGATTAGCACAAAAGTTGGAGCTCTTGGCATTGATTTATCATCGAGTCAAAAGATTGTGTTATTTGATGTTTGCTGGGATAACACATGGGATAATCATGCAGTATTTAGATCTTTTAGATATGGACAAACAAAGCCTGTGAGCATTTATAGATTCGTCATGGACAATACTATTGAGAGCAAAATTTTTCAGAGAGTCTCATCCAGAACAACCATGTTCAAGAATATGAAAGAGGAGAAGAAGAACTTTGTGGATAAGGAAGATTTCTCAGAGTATCTCCAATCAGAAAACACCATAACTCCATCAGCAAGCACTACTTTCCAATGTGATGCTTATCTTGAAAAAGTAATGACAAGTGAACCACGTCTTAAAAAGTATGTGCAGGCAATTAATGAATATGAATCATTGTATATTGAATTGCCGGATGAGTTGTCATCTCAAGATCAAACTGCCTCAAAACAGAAATACGACCAAGATTTTTCAGATTTTACATCATCTGAGGCGCGAAAATCATCCAACTGTTCCACTTCCTCCTACGAGGAAAGCAACCAAAGCGGTAGCACAAGCACTGAAAGTTATAATGAGGAGGATGAAACAGAAGATGACTATGAAGATTTTGATGAAGATGATGAACAGCTACAATAAATCCTCTCATAATTTCACTATTGATAGTTTTGAACTACAATTTTTTGGTCATGGATTCAATTTTTGAATTGCTTTGCTTTTAAGAAGTGGATTCGCAAAGGGAGTCTTGTTTGATGATATTCCAGTCAAGAATTGTGCCAAGTTCAACTCTAATTGCATCTTGTTGTCAATAGCCCCTCTAATTCTCTAGTTAACTCTAAATGTGTTTCTTCTAACTTGTCTTGATTCTTCTCCAAATGTTCGAAGGCAGACATTAATTGAGAGTTATGGTGCGAAATATCCAGATTCCTTCTCAACTCTGCTAACTGTTGTAATTCTTTCTTTAAGATGGAGTTTTCTTTTTGGAGATGACGAAAAACCCTTGTCAGCGAAGAATGGTTCTCGACTGTCAAAAAGTCATGCTCGAAATCTTTAAGACGTGAATCGAAAGTTGGTTCATGTTTCAAGTGGTCGATCAGGAACAATGACACAACGGTTTCTTTTTCTTTGTTATCTTCTGGTTTCGAGTTGTCCATGTTGATATTTGGAGAGACAGCGGAATCATTTTGTTGAGATTTGTCGTGTGGTGCGTTGTTGATTGGCTCCGATTCCATAAACGAGGTGTTGTTCGAGAGATTGGAATGCATCGCATGAACGGACGAGATCTGTGGAACATCTTTGCTGAATTGCCCACTCTGAAATAAGCTCATGTTCTGTATGGGCATAACGAGAGGCGAATGTTCAAGACCAAATGTTGATCTTCCATCCAGCTGAACATGACCAGAATTCGATGGAGACCCATATGGGACAAAAGATCCGTGTCCAAGGTTTGAGGACTCTTGTTTAAACATATCCATTTGTGTCAAATGAGAGGAATCTTGATTTTGAGAAGACGTAAATGTTGCTTGTCGAATGAGTTGGTGCTTCTGTTGTGGAGGAATCACTACTCGATTGATCAAACCCGCCTGTTGTGTTGGAGTAGTAGAAATTATAAAGCTAAGTCCTTGTGGCCCTGGAGGAGCCATGAGTGGAAAGGATGAAGAGCTATTGGGAACTGCAGATGGTGGTACAAAATGAGTGAATGCGAACGAATGATGTTGTTGTGGAGGACCATTCACTGAAACCGTGTTATTACTAATCATTGGATGATTGTTTAAGGAAGGCTGGCTCATCTCACTCGTCGGGATCATCATGCCATGAGAGAACATATTAGGTTGAACATTTACCGTGGTTTGAACAAGATGCGGTGGTTGTGATGAAAGGTTATGATACAAATGATGACTCTGTTGGGGATGTTGAGGAGGAGGTGGTTGATGATGCTGTTGAAATGAAGTAATGCTTGAAGAGGCGACGGTAGCATTCGATGGAAGGAGTTGCATGCTTGGGTGAAGGGGAAACATTTTTTTAAGCCTTAGAAACGAATTGTCGTTGAACGGCACTGACAAGAATAACATTTATCATCAAATATCTCTTGGATGCCCTTTAATTTTTTTTTAAATTTCGGATCTAAAGGGAAGTGAAGAAGATCTGTATCCACTTTTCAACATCGTACAGAGATGATCTGTTTTTACTTTTAGAATCATTTTACCTTTATTTGGAACAATTTTAACTGTGGCTCCAATGATGTTTCATCTACAACAACAACAACACGTACCTTGGTACATTGGAAGCACAACCCCGAAACTTAACACACTCGGAAATGATAGATTGGACCAATTTTTTATTCCATAAAAAATGTTCAACATCACATTGCCTAGTAGTAAAAACAACGGGAGTGAAACAAACACACACTCCTTCTTGTTTTCCATTGTTATTATGAAAATTATTCGGTAGTAGTGGTAGGTAGGCAGGTAGTCAGTTGTAGATGTGTCTATTTACAAGAGATAAATGATGATGATGATGATGTATAATACAATTATGTACAGATGGCAAGTTAGTGAAGAGAGGGAGGCAAAAGTCGTTGTAGTTTGATACAATTTCGGAGAGAGTAAAAAAGGCCACGTCATCACTTTTGTAAGTTTTCCTTTCACAATAGCAAACATGACATTTGGCTGGTTTGGAATGAAGTAAAAGTACTCCATTGATACTGAGGAACTTCTCAATACGAGCTGACTCAATTGTAATAATTAATTAGAAGGTAAAATCTAGAAAGAAGTTAATGTCAGCATCAGCACCTAAATCCGATGAAGAATACTCGGCCGAGTATTGTGGATCAAACCTCCTGGATTCTACAATGGACTTGAAATCTGTGTCATCATGGTTCCACAAATCTTCCAAGAACGATTGTCTCATCTTTTGCAATTGTTCACTCGAGTAGAAGACTTGCTGTGGTGGTTGTTTGGAAGAATTTGGGGCAGCACATGTTCGTGAGAACGAGCTACCAGTGGAAGCATATGGATACTGTACATGATGGTGGGAGGAAGAGCCAGCAGCTACTGTTTGCATGGGCTGCGATTGGTACCTATTGTTGATGTTGTTCATCGTTGTGAGAGGTTGTTGATAAGACATGTCTTCAAGGAATGGAAAGTCAAAATCGGAATAGTCATATATGTGTTGTGGTTGAGGAATAGCTGTCACGCTGGATGGCTGTTGGAATTGTACATTTGGATTCATTGTTGTTGAGGAGGATTGGAAGAAGTTAGGATTATACAAGGGTACGGTGGTGATGGAAGGGCAAGCAGTTGGATTTGGAATCGTTTGTTCAGCACAATTGTTGCTGCTGCTGGTAAGGGAAGGACTTTCATGGGAACCTCCAGCATTGGATGACATGAAGGATGAAGAGGCACATTGTTTGACATTCTTGTTGCTGGAGGATGAAGAGAGCTTTCGTTTCTTGGTTGATACATTCTCGTCCTCAGCAGAGTCATTGTGATCCGTTGAGGGTAAGTCTTCATCCTCGTCAGACTCCTCCTCTCCAGAATGATATTCCTCCTCGTCATTGGTTTGTTTACGAGAGGAGCGTCGTCCCTTGGGTCGTCGACTTTGAACAGTCTCCTTTTCTGCCTTATCATTGGCGCTATCTTCTTCCTCTTCTTCCTCATAATCATAATCAGAGTCACGAGCAGGTTTCTTTCTCTTTCTCAGCGATGACGTTTTATGGCGGTGTGACTTGGTAGGAGCCTCCTCAGAATCAGTGAGAGTTTTCTTGGAAGAGTTGGGAGAAGATGGGATCTTGTCAGAGTCATCAACACCACCACCTTCATCATCTCCTGACTGTACCTCCCCATCGCTAGTGACAACCTTGGTAGTCTTAATGTCCAAAAGTTTGTTACTGGTGGTGTTGAAACGAAGCTGGATGGTCATGGATTGTATCTTATCGGAAGTAGAATTGCCCTTGGAGGATGATTTCTTTCTCTTTGGGCAGGGAGGCAAAACAATTTCACAAATTCCTCCACTCTTCTTGGCCTTATCTTTGGACTTCTCCACAACACGTCTCAATGTCGAATTCCAATGATTCTTGATAGCATTGGCCGTTCTTCCATCAAGAATTTTAGCAATTTGAGCCCACTTATTACCATGCTTTTCATGATACTCTATAATGATACGATCCTCCTCTGGAGTCCACCAATCCTTCTTCACAGATGGATCCAAATGATTGTACCAACGCTCTCTGCATTGTTTTCCAATTCGTCCTGGCAATTCTTGAGCTATTTGTGACCACTTTTTAGCTCCAAACTTTTCAACAAGCTTTCTCAAGTGGTTATCTTCCTCCTCTGTCCAAGCTCCTCTGACATGCTTGACCTCTTTCTTCTTGGAGGATGAACTCTTTTTCTTATGGGAAGAAGACTTTTTCTTTTTGGAAGATGAACCCTCTTCCTGTGATGAAGTACTATGAGAAGAGGAGGAATCGGAGTGATAGTCTTCATCCAGGTTACTATTGAGGTTGCTGCTACCAGCTCCCTCTAGAAACATGGCCTCATCTTGCGCCAGTGAAGGCGACGAAGGGTTAAACGAGGCATTCGAAGCATTGCTGAGCTCAGCAATGGACGCTGGCATTGACATGATAGGGTTATATGAAAGGTGGTGACCGTGACAATGAATGTTGGATTCAATGTTGTTGTTGGGTTATGATTGGGTTATGATGAAAGTGTGACACTTGGTTGTCTGGTTGATATTTACAAGGTAGGGTGATGTTTCAGAAAGATCTTTAGGTTTTGAGGTTTGCCCGAGAAAAAATTTTCAGCAGCGGCAAGGCGTGGTCCGCGAGAGATACGAGATTCACAAAGATTCAAAAACGTTACCCTGGTAGCGTTGAGATATTTTTTTTGATGATTTTAAAAAAATTTTAAATTTATTTTTTTGAGCGTTTTTTCGATTCGTTCTAACGACTATTTTTAAAAAAGGAAGAATTCTGATTGGATAGCACACTTGTTGGGTGTTCTCAATCAGTGATCGGAACGAGTTGGGAATGAGTCTTCGATTGTTGTTTGACTTTTTGAAGGTGAAGTAAACGAGAACAGAATCTCTCTGAATCTTGACCAGGTATTTGAACAAAAGACTTGTTGTACATGACAATAAAGTTTTGGATCATCATCGAGCACACAACTCTTCGTTAGGAAACCGGTTCGTGTTTACGATTTTTTCCCATCGATCTTTTTGTTACCTGTATGTGCGGTGTTGGCAAGGGCATCAGGCAATTGGTGCTTGCACATCGTGACGGTGAATAGCATACAAAGCAGCCTCACTCACCAATACCTACCCATGACATGGGAGAACAGGATCAATCACATAATATAGTGGCAATAATGCTTAGGAGACCCACACCAGCTGTTGCTTGCAGCTACCGGCGGAGCATCAAGCTGATCAACTTGGTACAATTCAAAATCGCAGACGTTACTTTAAAACACATCATTGATGATAATAATATTGTTTTTGATGTTGTTTGAAAAGTATTTTGCAAAGCTTTTAACGAGCAACAACTGGGAATACACCGCTGAGATGAAGATGATGGTTTGAGAAGATATCATCCGTTACAGTGTCGAAAGTGCTGTACAGTTTCCATTGGTTCCACTCGAGAGCACAAGATGATCTTCCCTCTTTGTTCATAATAACAGCATCGTTCGTGAGAGTACAAACCGTCCTCAGGAAGTACGGTTCAACATTCTAACGGACGGTTGGTCGCTTTCCTTTCATTCGGTAGATGGACAATATGAAACATCAAGTGATTTGCTGCGAGAATTTTTTTTTCTGCTGATTTTCTTCTACCTGTGCGCCTACAAATTCTGGTTGAGTGGTTTACAACACCTTACGCTGATGAACGGGAGCTTATAAGCTGCCCAAATATTCCACAGTATTACTATGACAACTCCTGTTGAGATCATAGATCACAATGCAGCACCACAAACAACCGCTAATAACAACTCTTCCATTCAAGAAATATCCACACAATAGTTCTCTCCTTCAATAATTTCGAGGAATGGACAAAGGAAGAAGTTGCTTCGTGAAGGCTGGGACTTCCCTTGATAACATTGGTCTTTATAGTGTGAATTAGATAGAGTAATAAACTCCATCAAGTACTACTTCTTCTCGGCAAAGTGTGTCCAGAACAACTGGTCTCCGTTTAAATATTCCTTCTTCTTTGGTTGTATAACACCTTTCGAAATACAGTACTTGCTCTATGGTTAATCCAGCCCCACCTTTTAGTTTTGATTGGCACAATGCATCCTTTGTTTGATCCTTATTCCATAAATTGAAAAGTTTGGGCATTAATGTAAAATTGACCCAATTAACAACAGAAGACCTGTTTGGTATTGCTATAGAATTGATGGCTCTGCAAATATGATACCCAAGAAGAATCGTGAGCCTGAATTCCATCACCCAGCATAAAGCCAAATTTCTCAAATGTCGTAAATTGATGCCTATCGACCACTTGTTTCAGTTGTTCATCATTCACAACGTTATCCTTTCGCATTCTACGGGAGTATTTGCGCCAGAAGGAGCTCTTTGGAAAGAAAAACATGATCCGAGACTTGCTTTTTAAAACCCAGTCGGTTTTTTTGGAATGCGCCAAATCCAACTACAACCCTCGTGTAACGGTTCATCGAAAAAAAATTATTGCAACTGCAACCACTGCCCTCACGTTTCCTCATACCCATTCAAGAATCCTCTCTATTGGACCATCATCATGGGTTGCGGAGCATCAAGTCAGAGACATGTGGTTGAACCATCCACTCCTCACAAGGTGGCTAATCAATCTAAGTCGAGTCCTAAAATTGTACGGGAGGAAGAAGCGGCACAACCTCCCTCCCAACAGAAAAGTTCATCCGAACAGGTGGTTGAAGAACCAAAGAAATTGAACCATCAACAATCAACCGATCAAGCAGAACCTGTGATTGAGAAGGAGCCTCCTCCTCCCTCCGATCTCCACAAAGAAGGTCACCAACATTCCTCTCATGATCCTCATCAAGAACACGCAGTACCTCACAAGAAAAGAATTAAAGAAGAGGAGACTGAGAATATGGTGGCTCAACCACCCTACCAGGAACATGCGGAGCCACCAGAGCTGGAGCATCCTGAAAAATCAAAGGAAGGAGAGGACACCTTTGAGCCTCCTGTATATGGCGAAGAAGAGGAAAAAGCGGCCTCAGTCATTCAGAAAAAGTTTAAGGAATATTCTGCAAAAAAGAAAGTTGACCGAATGTTAATGTGCTATTTGTGCGGTCAAAAATTTGGACCTACCTCTCTACTCATTCACTTGAAACCAAATAATTGTCCAGAACAGCGAATGAATGACATGAAAGCAAATATTCCTAAAGAGTTGGTTCTCTCAAAATTACCCTCTCCACCTCTCACTCCCATTCCTGATCCTGAAAAGGCAACTCAGGAGGAAGTCGACGCTTACAACAATGAGGCTTATGAAATTTACACCAAGAAGAGCATGATCCATTGCCCTATTTGCTCGAAAGGATTTGAAATTGATCGATTGACGGTACGTAAAGACTTGCTCAAATGATACATGAACCTTTCTAACTTCACATTCAAATGGTAAATATCCACTGCCTTTAACTTTGAATTCAACAATGAAATGATGAACATTATTTGAAACGACAACCATTCGATTTGAATCATTTTCTTCTTTGATTATTGCAGAAACACTTGCAAATTTGCAAAGATAAAGATGGACATACATGGGAAGAACATCAAGCGGCAATTGCCATTCAGAAGAATTGGAATAAGCATTTAACAAAGAAGATGCTCTTTTGTTATTGCTGTGGTCAAGAGTACGGAACCAAATCGTTGCCAATTCATATTCCTGAATGTATCAAAAAAAGAGAGGCCATTTGGAAGCATTCTGGTCTTCCAGAAGAGTTGATAAAGCCAATCCCAGATCCTCCTCACACACCTATTCCTGAATCAAGTGATCCCTCTGAGAACTTTAAAACGTACAATACCGAAGCAAGAACGATTTACATTGCAAGCATGGCTCAATGTCCAGGTTGTGGTCGAAAGTTTGAACCTGATCGATTGGTTATTCATCTTCACTCTTGCCACGCAGTGAGCAAGAATGAAAATCCTGTGAATTAAATTATTTTCAATCCAATACAAAAACAAAGATGTCTTTACAAGCAAAAATTCGTAGAAAGTTATTATGACTGTGGAAGTTCATCCCCACGAGTCATGTTACTTTACGATCATTGCTTGCAATTAGGGATGTTTTCCACTCGAGTATGGCTTTGGAAGTGATCCCGCTCGCGATGAACATTCCCACCAATCGAATCATTTGTCCCTCTAAATTATTGGCCTGCAAGAGATGAAACGGTTTAAACACTCTCTTTGAAGGTTTGTCATGATAAACGGTATACAAAGGTAATAGAGAACGAAATGAGAGATTAGTTGTGCTGCCACTCTAATTAGTTGTCCAAGCTAGAGAGAAACCGGCAACGGAGGATATCCTTCCATGAATCATGACTAAATTTCCAAAATGTATTTGTTAGTTGTAGTGTTAACAATATTGGAAATTCATCATTTTTGAAAAAAGCAGAACTTGTTTTGAACAGAGATACTTTGCAAACGTTTCTCGCAACCGAGATTTTTCAGTTAGAGAGCGTCAACGACAGAATATGACAAGGAGGATGCAGTTCGCTTGTTTCAAATCTCATTGAGCTATGAAGGCGCCAACTTGCTGTTTTCGTAAGGCTGAAAGCCATTTTGGAGGCATCCATCCATTGTCAAGGGTTCTCTTCTTGTAAAACTAACGTCACAATGAGTGTCATCTACGGTATTGCCGAGATCGATGCTTGGAGAGATATAGATTGTCATTCAGAAAAAAGTGAGCCATTCCTTTAGAGAATCGATCAAACATTGAACTTTTGCCATCCTCATCATCACAACCCGTCGACCTTCATATCCTTTCTCCAAAGAATGAACAACCGTAACCTTACATCACCTCTCCTTCGTTATTTTTTAATTCTCCTTCTCATCCCTTTGTATTTATTCTTCATTCTTGAAGTATTGAATATCTCTTCAACAACAACAACATGGATGGTAGTGGCTCAAGTTCCTTCCTTAACCCTTCTTTCAACGAATCTCTCCGATACCACAACAGGTTCAGCACTTTATTACGATTCTAATTCTCAATTATTGTATTCATTCGGAGGAGTCGAGATGAATAGGGGTTCGAATGGAAATTTGGTCCTTACGACGCATGACACGATTCAAATGGCTTCGGTGACAAAATCGTCGACGAACCAAAACTCGAATGGTGGTTTCGTGGGAAGTGTGTTGGGGCTGTCTGGTAATTCCATTTCGATTGTTGCTAATTTGCCCTATCCTACAAGTCATTATGCTTTTCACGTGTTAAAGAATGTGACAACTGACAGCAAATCGTCTTCAACTTTACCATCATATGCATACATATTTGGAGGTTACAAATCAAAGGCCATTCAGCGAGCTTCATTAGACTCTTTAACCCAATTTACCAAAGTGGGAGAATTACCAGTTGAGATTTCATTTGCAGCTTCCATAAGGACTGAAACTTCACTCTATCTCGTTGGTGGATTGGCAGATGATCGATCGAGTGGTAGGTCTTCCATTTATTCTGCATCGATCAGCAGTCCGGTCAACTGGAAGTTATTGACCTCCACTTTTCCAGTAGCGATTGTGTCACCTGTCGTATTAACTTATAAGAGAACTGTGTACATTATTGGAGGATGTAATTCTCTTTCGTGCTCAACGAAATATAGCACCACTTATGTTTCATCTTTTGATAATTTGACACAGTGGTCTTTGTCTTCAAACACGTTGCCATGTTCTGTGAGTTTTGCGAGTACCTTCATGACAAGTGACTTTGCATACATGATTGAGGGAAGTAGTGATCTAGCAAGAATATTAAGGGCTCCCTTGAGTGATTTAACTTCTTGGACTTTGATCACCTTGGAGTTTCTAAATAAGGCCATTTCTCGAGCGTTCATAACAATTGGTTCTTCCGTAGTGATATCTGGAGGGTCGTATATTGGAAGTTTTGATTCATACTCGAGTAAAAACATTGTGACTGTGTCAGATACGACCGTGGTTGCTAATTGTTTTGGAGTTCTCGCCAGTAATACGAGTTGCAGTGGGCGTGGTCAATGTATTTCAACTGACAATTGTCAATGCATCAACTCTACCTACTATGGTGACAATTGTCAATATACCAAGTCGACCCAGGTCACTCCCGTTTGGAATGCAACTTCAAATTCATCGAATGTATCACCCTCCTGGAATGCGACATTGCCAAGTATGAATGACCAATCCCAAAATAGTTCTTCCGTTTTGACATCTTCGAATACGACAACCAATGCGATGAATAACCTCGCCAGCAATTTGACAAATGCACTCAATAAGACCAATGTGGACAATTCTTCTTCTGCAATCAGTCCTGGTTTAAACAACCCTCCAAATCTAACTGACATTGGAGGATCTTTACTCTCAAACACTTCCAAACCAATCCTTGAAACCAATGTCAACAACACAACTTCATGGAATGCCACATTAAACCCCAGTATTTCTATGAACGCTACCATACTTCCAATGATCACAAATGAGACATCCTCAAACAACGCATCGATTGCGAATACCACTGGTTGGGTTGTGATGAACAAGACAATGCTTGTAAATTCATCGGTTTTAGATGCGAATTTGAATGATACAAAGATCACTCTCAACGTCACTTTAAAGATCAACAATACAAATGATGCTCTGAATGCAACTACAATAAGAAATTCATCAATTAGCAATCAACTTCTTGAGAATTCTAACCTTACGATAGGTGGCAATCTTTCTTTGGTGAACGTCACAAATTCCAATCAAACCATCAGCACTGAAACAAATACAACTTTGATCCGTAACAATGGAACTTCTTTCACGTGCTTGGGTGTTCCTAGCAATTCCTTATTAGTCTGCTCTGGAAGAGGAAAATGCATTGCCCGTGACACCTGTCAATGCAACTCTTCATATTTTGGGATTGATTGTTCAAAATATTCATGCTTTGGGTTCTTGTATAACGACACTGAGAAAGCATGCGGAGGATCAAACAGAGGATGGTGTGTAGCACCTGACACTTGTCAATGTGTGAATAACTATACTGGTTTGACCTGTCAGGACCTTGTCAAACCACAAACATGGTCATGTTTTGGAATCGACTCAAAAAACTCCTCTGTTTGCTCTAACGGACAAGGTCAATGTATCGCCAACGACACATGCCAATGCTTTCCCACCTACCAAGGTTCTCAATGTGAAATCTCTTCAAAAACTTTTTCCGTTTCCCTCGACGCTCGTTATTATTCTGTGAACATTGATCAGCAATCCATGTTGAACTTAAAGGTGCAACTCATCACTCCCTGGATCTCCAAGAATGAAACCTCGATCGACCGATATCAACTCACTTGCTCGAATTGCTCTCGCCTTTTTCCTTCTCCTCAATTTTTCAAAGATTCTCCGAGTGAAATCTCTTTAGATGTATCCTTGTTGAGCCCTTTCGCTAGTTATGAATTTTCATTGACAGCCATTAAGAGTAATACAACCGAGCAGTCACAACCTTTTGTTTTCTATATTGATGTTACAAGCACCAAATTGAAAACAAAGGATGCTTCTCCGCTGATGATTGACAGCTTGGTGATGACTGGCCTTCCACCAGCATTTATTTACAACGCCACTGATACAACATTATTAATCTCAATTTCACAACTAACTTTCAATTTGCCATTCCCAAAATTTTTACAAGATGGAAATTGTTCATTTTCATGTCCGTTTCAAAGCCGTGTCGAATTGAGGTTAGTTAAGGAAATTGCAAATTCAATTAAGGATTCAAATTTGATGGATGCAAAGGTTCTCTACACTTGGGAAAAGACGTCTCAATATTCACTTCTGTCAGATTTAAGTTTGCAATTGAGCCCTTTCATTTCCATTCAGCAGTTAATTTCAATACCATGGTCAGAATTGATTTACCCCTCATTGAATAATCGGATTGAAATTGAATTTTCCTTTCCAACTTTTAAAAACGCTTCTCGTATCCTTTCGATTCCAATAATTGAAATGCCCTCTCCTCCTTCAGATTATTTAACCATGACAAGTGTCAGTCCATCATCAGGAATGGCCATTTTAGATCAATTCCTTGTTCAAACGTCAGAATGGATATCAAATAGTGCTCTTTCACCTCTCACCTATGCTTTTGGATTTTATCACATGTTTTTGAATGAAAGAATCCGAGTCACAGATTATCAGGAAAAACCAAGTACCTCTCTTCCATTGCCATATTTATTCAAGTCCATAACAACCACCAACTCAAGTGGCTCTTCTTCTTTCTCACCTATTTCAACACAAAAGAGAATTGAAATTGTGTTATTTGTGAAGGATGTCATGGGCCATGAACAATCTCAAAAGATTGGTCTTGTGAATATATTACCTCTCAATCAATCAATGGCTACAAATTTGAAATCCATTTCACTCAATTCCATGCAACAGACGGTGTTGGCTTACGATCAATCCTTTCTTCAAGTTGCCAACAACAACACCAATCTCGTGATTGATGTGATTTCGAATGTGGATGTGAAAGACGCCAAAAGTTCTCTGAATGTATTGAACTCTGTCACTTCAGAGACGAAACTCATGGACGATGGACAAGTTCTTTCAACCGTTTCTTCTCAAGTGAATAACATTCTAAACACACTTTTAAATAATTATGAACAGGAAAGGAACAATTACGGATTCGTTGTGAACAAAGTTTCTGATCAAGTCACAAAGACCGCACTCAACGTCGTGTCCAACATTCTTGCCTCGAGTGTGACACCTTCATGGACAACAATTCCTGGAAGCTCACTTTCAAAGGAGCAATTAGAAAGCCCACCTATTGATTCATTGGTAACATCCTTGTCTAAACTCATGTTGCAAACAGTCGTTCCAACGGTTCTAGACAATAGTTTCTCTTCAGTATTACCAACTCTTCAGTATTCAAGTGCCATGTTGAATACGACAGTTGCATCGTTTGTAGTGAAAACAAAAACGAATCGAAAGGTCAGTCGAGAATTGAAAAATGAGAGTTCAGATCTTGCCTTATTGCAAACAGAGAATACTCAAGTGACGCTCAATTTATATGAACTAGTGGAGAAATATTCAGGATATAACACAACGTTGGGTCTGTCTCTGGTGTCATTTGCCAAAAATCCAAAAATGGATAATTTCACCAAGTCACATTCAGCTGGTGCGCTCGTTCATGAGTTTAAATATCATCAAGACAACAAAATTGTTCAGCTCTCTGATTTAAAAACCCCAATTTCTTTACAATTTCAAATTCCTTTAGAGAATCGAATGATGCTATCAGAAATTCGAAATATGTCAACGATGAATTTGACTCGTAATAATTTCACATCAATTATAGAAACAAAGGAAGAAACCTTTCTTCGTTGTATGTATTGGGATGAGAAGAATAATGAATGGAGCGACTTTGGATGTGTACTTGCAAGTTATGAAAATGGTACTGGAGTTGCCACTTGTCAATGCAATCACACAACCAAATTTAGTACTTTTATTGAATTTAGAACAAGAAACTGGACGACCATCATGCAACACAATGAGACAAACGCCTCTCTTCTAGGCTCATTCATACATTACGAGCTTTATGTTCAGTATATGGAAATTGCTTTTGGTTTTATCTTTGCTTCTCTCTCCATCCTAGTTTTACTACTTTTAGTTATATACAGAAAACACCAACCAGTGTCGAGTAGACTCATTGCTCCCTATTTAGGAATGACCGCACTTCTCATCGAAAGCATTCTAGTAAGCATTCTTCAAAGAGCTCTTTCTCTCTCAAGTGGCACTAGCAACGATCCATCACAAGACAATTCCAGAAACGATTCGAACATCATTGTGGCTCTTGTTGAAAACATTTCACTTATTGTAGTGAACACTCTCAATTTGACTGCCATTCTCTCCTATTTCATTCAAGTGGTTCGATTTCAATTCATGAAAGCACTCTCTCACAAAATGTTATTGAACTCAAAGAGAAATGTAAAATCCATGTTGAGACATATTCGATGGTTGAGATTTCTCACTTCGAGATGGTTGTTTATATTGATCATTGCATTTTCAGTGATTGGAAATTTAGTGTTTTGGACTTTGTGGGTCATTTTGAGACGATTGGATATCATTTCGAGTCAAGTCTTTACCACGGTGACTAGTTTGTCCTACATGTTCATCATCTTGGGCTATAGCGTCTTTATTTGCTTTGTTATTGTCATTGATTTCATACGGACCTGTCAACAATCCACCATTTCATTTCAAAACCCATCGACACAAGTTGAAAATAATGTCTCCACTCCTCAACATGATACTCTCACTAAAAGCATCTCTTTTAAGAGAACTGTATCACTGTCTCGTGTGAAAAGTGAAAGTACCATTCAGAGTCATCAGACACATGTCACGAGTGCTTGTCCATTGAAGAATACAGAACTTTCTGTTCAACAAAGAAGTTTTTTGAGAAAGTTATTTCATCTCGATACTCCTCTCTATTTTAGAGCTGAAATGATGTTGTATTTGGTGTGTTTTTTGTTTATGATGGTTCAATTAGGTATTGGATTTGCATCACAATTTTACGAGAATCATTTGTTTAAAGTTTTTACAAGTGATGGTGGATCATTGGATTCTGAAGAAGAATTCAAAATGCACAACAATGTCATGGTCATGTCATTACTCATTCTCAAGATTTTCTCCCTGTTGAGTGAAATTTGCTACACCATTTGTTACATTGCCATCTTTGGTGGATTTTCATTATTTGTGTTATTTAAATACAAACTCAAATCGAGCAAAATGTCACATAGCTCCACAAACAAGCAACACATGAACACCACAAGTACCACAATTGGAGATTTTGCAACATCAAAGACAAACACTGAAGAATATCTTTTCGAAGAGTCTGAAGTTCTCTCTCTCATCAGAGACGATTTAGGATTTCGATTATTTGAAGAATTTTCTGAAAGGGAATTCTCTTTAGAAAACTTGTATTTTTATTTGGAACTCTATTCCAATCAGAATATTATTTTAGGACAAGAGATACACGAACTTCCATCTTTTTTGGAACAATTAAATGTCAATTATATTGCATCCACAGCACCGTATGAAGTGAACTTACCTTCACAGGCAAAACAAATGTTTTACGATTTGAAGGAGTTTGTGGAGCGTTTAAAGATGAATACATTGATATGGAATGAAATGAACAATTCAACACCATCCTCGACTCTGAATAGTGATGACGTGCTGCAAGTGGATTCTCTGAGAGAGCAAGACACTAAAGACCAACCCATTTCTGATCAAGTTAAGGAATTGAGAGAACAATTAATAGTATGCTTTGATCGATTGGTGAATGAAGTTTTTGTGAATTTAGGTAAGTTCTGAATAGATAACGAAAATTTGTGGTATATATTCACATTATTATTATTGCTGTGAATAACGACAATCACAGGTGACACTTTTTACAGATTCATTCAAACACCTGAATATAAATTCTACATGGAGAGCATTAA